AACCTTTTGGCGGTACCATAGTACCCCGGCTCTCGCATCATGTCCGTGATGCTGTAATTTTTAGCCTGTTGATGGTCGGCGATGCGGCAATCGACTCATCTCGACGAGCTGTGCACGATGCACCACTACGGTGCGTACGAGCGTTCAGGGTTTCGGCGCAATCGTCCTCGCTGCGTTACGACATCGCGGAGTGGCACTGATTTCGTATTGATTGGTGACCCAGTCGTGAAGTTAAGTACACCCCTGGAAAAAAAATAGTGTCCCAGAAGTAAAATATTTAATTGCCTCGGTCATTTTGTATTATTTTGTACCCCGGGGTACCGCCATAAGAATCAATTAAGTATTGTCGGGTACCACACAAACGCTGCCGTTTGTTTAAAGTTGTTATTGTTGTTTTATCTGTGCACTCTGTGTATATGGGTACTTGCACACATTATCTTCTTTAAAAGGGCATGTTTTTTTGTCCCAGTTAACTCTCACCTGGCCTTATCTGGCCTTTGCTTAATCTGACATCCCATTTTTTCCTTTACTGCTGTTATTGAAACCTTCTGCCCGGCTCCCAAGAATGATGACCTTTTGTAACTCCTGCCTCACCTACCACAATCAGCTGGACTATGGACTGACTAAAGGGCCCTCTTCACCCCCCCCCCCCCCCCCCGAGCTATTATTATGGGAGACCACGTCCACTCTTTCCAGTACTTTACAATCTTAGGTGTTTGAATGTCCTTCAAACTATGATCCCCCCCCCCACCAATCATGTTTATGTCCAGATCCTTCTCGGAATTGAGGGACATTTGCTTTGTTATTCATTAAAGCTGGGTCGTAAAATTGCAGGGCATAGTACACTTTCGAAGACCAGTGATCGTTGACACCAAGCAAACATAGAACTCGCGCGCACGCGCACACACACACACAGACCTTCACATCGAACTCGGGCCCATGTCTAGAGACAAAGAGTATCCTTTGACGAGAACATCTGCCAGTTCACCAGCGTTGATTCACCTGAGCCTGACTTCTCTTGATAAGACACTGTATGTCAAGACTGGTCCTAAGTTTTGCTAGTATTGAACCAAAGCTGCTGAAATGATGCAGCTCCAAGTCTTCTGGATGACGGGATGTGTGAAATGTTTATTTTTACGTGGACAGAAAGATATAGGAATGCGATGCAATGTCCGCTTATTTATTGTGCGACTTATATTCTCCACAACGACGCTCATGATCGCTTTGCGTTACGCACAGATGCATCGACCATGTTTTGCGATTACCGCATCGTTCGTGCACCACCCTATGAACCTAGCAATGCAAATTTGTTGATTCCTGGCCACGGCTAAAAAGAGCCGCAAGCGATATCTGAATCAATCAAGGGGCCGCCCACCCCCACCCTTCGACAACCAAGTACGTGTGGTCATAAACAGACAACGTGTGAGGCCTTCATCCAGTAGTGGATTGACAAAGGGCTGTACATTATTACCATTCATAATTCTGCATGTATCAATTGTCGGCACACGCAGTGCCTTTGAAGGCTGATGAAGACTGTTTTGAGGAGTGCTTTCATCATCTTCCAGGCAGCAAAGGCTTGAGATGCGTAGGTGGGTGGTGCCACGGTGGTGAGATGTTAACTACCTTGCCCGGTATACAGGAGGTCGTGAGTTCGATCCAGACCCGGATGCCTGCACATTTGGAGTTTGCGTGTTCCCCCGGTGGTTGCGTGGATTTTTCTCCGGGTCCTCCGGTTTTTCCCTCCACATTTAGAGAAATGCGTTTAGAGTATTTGGCTGCTGTGCATTTCCAAATGATAAGCCACTTCATTGAGCGATCATTAGTGACCAAGTCGCTTCTGAGAAAGAGCTATATAGCTCAGTCGGCCTTACCTCGTATAATAAAAAAGAAAAGTTTACTAGTTTGAATGAGTGAGATATCAAGTTTCTCTGTGTCCCCGAACATTGCCTGGAACATACTAAACTAAACCCTGGATTACAGTCACCAACGCAGAGTGTAGCATTTTGCCAGTTTCTTGTTACGGCAAGTCAAAGTAAGTCCATCAAACACAGCGATAGTTTTGGGCAAGCCTATGCAAACTCATGATGCACAGACACGCGCACGAGCGCGCAAGCGGCTGTGAAAGCTTTTTGAGAACGAAATCCAAGACGCAGAAATTAAAGGATTGTAACAATATATAGGGTATAATAACACTCCTGTACACATGGGCCGTCTCAGCAGAGATTTACGTACATTGTGATGAACTCCATATTTTGCTGTGGTCGGGCCCCTTTAAAAAAAATGGCAACTGACACCATATCCAGCCTTCTGAAAGACGGAAAACCTCCACAAGCCACGCCCAGCGTAACACCAATTATGCCAATGACATCACTAGACCATACCCATGCATAATTTTTTTAACAGCTAAGACCCATAGAGCTATGGCCACAAATGACAGCTTAACGAAGTGGCTTATCATGTGGAAGTTTATAGCAGCCTAAAACTCTAAACGCATGTTTCTAAATGTGCATATAACAACCGGAGGACCTGGGAAAAATCCACGCGACCCCGGGGAGAACATGCACACTCCAAATATGCAGGCGTCAGGGTCGAGATCGAACCCAATACCTCCTGTATAGCAGGCGAGGTAGTTAACATCTTGCCACCGTGGCACCCCACTAAGCCACAGCTCTGCTCCAGCAATGGCACACGTGGCAACAGAGGTGACATTTTCCTCCCCGCACCACCCCCCCTCCCCGTAACTATTATCCGATTGAGTATTCAAATTGATAGTCAGTGATCCATTACTCAAATAAATCTAAAAAAATTATTAGGGAAATCAACAATCTCTTAATGACTATGTGAAAGAAAAATACCATTTGATTCAAGAGTTGGATCTCCACGTCTTGTCGATCTGATCACTGTAATCACGAGGGGAGTCAGACCGTCCGTGTCCCAACACGCAGTTACTGGCAGCTAAGGCTTGAAATATCCAACGAGCGTAGGGGGTGCTGGGGTGGGCTCTGCACCACCAAATGTCCCTTTGGAGCACCAGAGTTCAGTTTCTTGTGGTGGCCCCCCACACAACAGGAATACTGTCCATGCCCACCCCCCACCATCTGAGAGGAGCTGGAGCCAGGCCTGTACACAATATGCACGGAGGGTCAGAAGGCCTGGCAAAAACAAATTGGCAACAACGCAAGTGAAAAGTGTCAGATAAAAAAAACCCTACCAAAGGCCCGGAAGTTTATGTTGCTTGAAGATACTTAAGTAATGAAGGGCTTCGATTTAAAGCTTTCGTGACTGCAGGGATTCATCTTCTTGGTTCTTTCGGTAAAGTCACGTAGAATGGAAATAATAAAATAATAAAATAAAACATTATAAAATTATTCTCACGACGTTTCGGCCACAACGCAAGCAGCCGTCCTCAGGTGAAGAACACGTCTGTCAGAAAGACAGCGTCTGAACTTCGGACGCTGTCTTTCTGACAGACCTGTTCTTCACCTGAGGACAGCTGCTTGCGTTGTGGCCGAAACGTCGTGAGAATTATTTTATTATGTTTTATTTTTATTATTTTATTATTTCCATTCTACGTGACTTTACCGAAAGAACCAAGAAGATAATGAAGGGCTGTGTGCCAAATCCATTTACCTATTTGCGTCTGTAAACGCCACCGGCGTACGTTTGTGCATAGCTTAACAAGTAGCCACTGTTCTCCGATTGCAGTCTATAATCTCCACTGCCAGGTGTACATCACGTTTGATTTGTCCGATTACAACGATCAGAGATTAAAGGAGGGAATGTGCATGTCATCTGCTGCGAAAAATAACACTGCACCATCGTACATTTGTGCATGATTTCAGAAGCGGCTCATGTTTTCTGATTGCAGATTATAGCCACCACACACGTGTCAGTTTTGACTTGGTCTGGAGCGGCAGGGTAGCGTGCAGTGGTATCATTTCTGTCTCTCAGTAAGAAGGGCGCCTCAGATTTAATTCCCGACTGGGGCGCCTTTTGTACGGAGTTTGAGTTTGTATGTTCTTCCCCTGTTCTGTATGGGTTTCTGCCAGGATCTCTGGATTCCTCTCATAGATTAAAAAAAAAGTTTAACTAGTATTCACAAACGTTTAAATGCAACCAAGAAATGCCAATCACTCAATTGGGATTATGCATAGTAACATCACCCCATTCTGCAGAAGCTTGACAAAGACCCTCCTGAAACAGTCATAAGACTCAGGCTTCCTGGGTAAACAAGTACATTGAAATAATATCACAGCAAATCTTTGGTGCTTGTTTTTACCCTGCGCCTATATTCGTTTTGATGAAGTTTCCGCTATTTGTGGCAAAAGCGTTCATATCAACAGCTGAGATAAGCTGCCCAAGGACGTGAACGGCGATGCACAGGGTTCACTACACGCGCGGCCACAGTGAGAAAGGCAAAAAAATGCCGTCACACAGCTTCTAGCAAACAAATGCCCAAAAGCAGATTTTCAATTGCCTTTCTCGGAATCCCAAACAGCAGCGGTCACACGACCAACGACAACCCGCATTACCTCCGATGAGCACGGTTGGCTACGTACGGTAGCCAAGGAGGTTCAACGTACCATATTGCACCGTAACAAAACAAACCTCTCAAAGCGCGCATTTGGAGTACGCGTGCGTGTACACGAAAAGTGCGCTTGTCAATGCCCCGCAGGATCGAGGGCCTCCCCACACCTTGGGAAGCTTAGCTTCTGAGAACTAATGAGATCGGGCAAACATTAGGGGCGATTTGGTCGCGGGAACACTCTCAGTACTCTATCCACCATAATATCACCAAACAGCCCCACTCCCCTCAACAACAGCAGCAGCAGCAACAAACACGTAAAAGACACCAACAAGTGAAAGGGTCAAACAGAAAAGGGGGTGGCCATGTGTGAACATTCAGCCAAGAGCGCACAGAGGGGGGGGTGGTGGGGGGGGGGGTTGCCGAGAGGTCTGCGGTGAGTGGCAGAATTAGGTCTCCGCGGGGTGAGTACTACCGAAAGAAGCCCTTGCATCCCTCGCAGGTCATGGCGTTGAAATGGTAGCCCGTGGCCCGGTCGCCGCACACCCCGCAGATGCGTGGCGCGTTGTCATCCTCCTCCTCCTCCTCGGTGAGGAAGGCCGACGTGCTCACCACCGTGTTCTGCACCGACGTGCAGGGCAGCTCCGACATGACCCTGTGCGACGGCAAGAGCCACTCGTCAACGGCGCGCACCGACAACCGCCGTCCGAGCGGCAGCGACGTTATCGCGGGGCGCGTGTGCCGAGCTACGTGCGCTTTGGTTCCATGTACGTATGTGTGTATGTCGAACATATTTCGCACCGTACGTAGCCAACCATGCTCATCACAGGTGCGGGGGAATGGCTACTAAATAAACGCACTGTGCCAGCTTCGCTCTGCCTCCAACTGCCCTGTCGCCTCAAAGTGTACCTAGCCTGGCACTGCCCAGTAGCATCCTTGACGAGCCTCCCACACAAAGGTCGCTGTTGACACCGCTGGTACCAGTCATCGGACAAGTCTAATCAGTCCCATATCTTCCCGCACCACATCAGCCCACGTCATCTCTCGTCCTCTTATCCCTCAGCACACAAATACAAAGATACCCCGTATAGCCTTAACAGACTGTTGGGGCAAGTGCTGTTTGCGAGCACCTATGAAGGCCAGCACGGCACACAAGGGGGTGGATGGACCCACCACCACACCTGTCCGCCTTTGTCTCCCAAGTGGCGATGTTTACACACCGCACCAGGTACTCAATTGAGGCCGAGTCGACCTAGAACAGGCCCAGAACCAGTTCAAATAATCGTCACTGCTGTTGACTGTGAGCGGGAATAGATCTCGGCTCGCCAGGTTCGCAGCGCAGCGCGCTGACTACCCTACCGCTCCCCACAAGCGTTAGCCCGTGGCCTCAGCACACACAAAGATCCCCCGCATAGCCTTAACAGACTGTTGGGGCAAGTGCTGTTAGTGAGCAGCAGCTGTGAAGGCCGACACAGTACACGAGTGAGCAGCGTGGTTAGTGCCACATCCGGCCGCCCATCGATTCCCCCAGTGTCGACGTCTACACACCGCACTGAGGACTCACCCACAACAACAACAACAGAACGCGCGCGTGTACAGCCGACCACAACAGGGCACAATGCCAGCGCATGCGGCTGCCACGACACGAGCATCACGAAGAACGCCGGTGGTCCTTTGAAATTGGGCCCTGTTAACTTTGGCCACAACGCGCCACCGCCATTGTGCCCGGGGCCTGATCAGTGTTGTTTAGACGGCGTGCCGACTCGACGCGTTCCAGCCCCTCGGGGGGGTGGGGGGGCCTTTGATGCACAAAGAACACCAAGTACAGCGCTTGTGCTCTTTATCCTCGGTCTCAGACATCTCGCCAACCCCCCCAACCCCCCCTCCCAATTTGACGTTGGGTTTTTTAATATTTTTTCCTACACTTTTGTTTGTACCTTTATTTCACTCTCTCTCTCGTTTCGCTCGGAGTACAACGATATGAAAGAAAATATTTTAAAAAATTGCTACTTTGCAGAAATAAACTCTGTGGCACGCTACTGTCTTTGCATTTTTTTTTTCATATATATACTGTACTGCACGAACATTAAGAACATATTTTTTTTGTCCAATCACACAACTCTTGTTCTTATGGTTTCAGTTGCTGCAATAAGGGAAGTCACATCTTTAGTTTTCGTTTTGGGTTAAGGGGTCAGATCTTTGGGATTAAGGAGTTAGGGTTGTGGTTTAGGGATTTAGATTGTTGGTTTAAGGTTAGGGTACATGATTTACGAGTTAAGAGTTTAAAGTTAGGATTTAGGGAATATGGCTGTAAAGGGGGTGATGTTTATAGGTTATGGTCTATCGTACCTAATATTGAATTATCACGAATCCCACTGATTCTCTTGACCTGCAACAAGCAGGGCGATTTAGTATTGAGACAAAAATAACCACGCAACATTCTCAAGAGCCAGCACCACCTCGTTATGAGGCCTCTGCTATAAACACTGCCATGTACTTTACTTAAACTGTTCGAATCCGTCTTGATGAGGATTATGTTAACCGGGAATCCATGGAGGATGGAATGCATGTGGGTATGGTACAGTGGGCCACTGTCGTATTAGCAAAGCAGAGATTACACAGCTTTGGGCTGCAGCACGCACTAAGGCGTGCCAATCGTCGGCGTGTGTGTGTGTGCCGGTAGTGTAGCGATTAGCGTGCTGCCCTACAAACCCAGCAACCTGGGTTAGATTCCCACTCAGAGCCAACACCAGTGACGATTATCCGAACTGGTCCTGGGCCTTCCCTAGGTCGACTCAGCCTCAAATAAGTACCTGGTGTGGTGTGAAAACATCACCGCCAGGGAGACAAAGGTGGCCGGGCGTGGTGTTGGCCACCACCCCCTCGTGTGCCGTACCGGCCTTAATAGGCTTGCTAGCACCACTTGCCCCAAGTCTGTCAAGACTACACGGGGGATCTTTGCCTTTGTTTGTGCTGGCGAGGGTTGTTAAAGGAGAACCAGTAAACCGGTAAGGTTTCAAGAATCGGTAACCATTTCGGTTTGAAAGTTAGTAATGAACGCACTTGATTGGCATGTCCCATGGTGGGATAAGTCAAATTCATTCACAATCTTTATCTCCGTTAAAAGGTAAAGTAGAACAGTCCTGCAATCGCTAGAACACTGCTGGCGGGCCGTGCCTCCAAGGTAGCTAGCTGTGGGAGGGGGGGGGGGTATTTGGTCTACTCTTCCATGCTGAACAGACGTGTCTTGGAAGAGGTAGGAGTACCCCCACACTTAACCCCACCACGATCGACTGCATCATCTTCGTCTACACTGCCGGGTGGACAGAGGCCAGTGTACTTACCATTAGACTAGGACAGCTCTCCTCCATCTCTCAGCCGAGGAGGTAAACGTGCTACGTTGTTACGTTCATTCCCCGACATTCCTATGTGCGGCAAAAACTGGTAACCGTTTCGCTTCGGTCAGCAACCAAAATAGCAAAAACAATTGTTTCAAAAACCCTCAATATTTCAAGAGCCGCAATGCACTGTGATGAATATGAGACGGCGGTCCTTAATAAATAAGGTCACGAAGCAGTCCTTAAGGAGCCGCAGGTTGCCGACCCCTGGTCTAACAGGTAATGCAAAATAAAAGACCGATTTTTAACAACCGCAAGCACCTACATAAATACATGTGTATGCGTGTGCGTGCGCATACACACGGTTGGCTCAATGGTTACTGTGCTACAAAAATCCAGCACCGGAGTGATCCTCGGGACCACGTTCCGAACATGCCGCAGGTGCGTGCGGTGGGAACATCAACACTGGAGAAACTCGAAAGGGTACCGAGCGTGCGATGTGCCACCCTTAATTGGTGGTTCACTTGCAGCACTTGCCCCAACAGTCTGTGTAGGCTACACAGAGCAGGGGTGGGAAGGGGGAGCATCGTTAGTCGTTGCTTGCTATCGCGTAACACGTGCCATTTCCATTTAATTCACAAAGTGTTGGGAGCGCTACCGATTACAGAGTGCTAAAAATGCTACGCTTTGGCATTCTTCTGCCATGAAAATAAATCAATTTTAATCTGCTGGAGTTCCTTGAATACGTGTTTTTTTAAAGCCATCTCCCACAGCCCAACAGTGGTGCAATCGCCCCGTCTTTGGATAACTGCATTGAGTAACAAGTTGCTCGTGTTGTGCAGGCTGAATCTCAGGCCCAGATTAGGGTCATCCTGGGCTCTAAGCCAAGACCACATTTTGGACCTCCAGCATTTTGGGTCTGATATAACCCAACGCACTCCTGACCCCCCGCTGGCATCAGCTCACACTCTCTCTCTCTGCTGGGTTATTGGGCCCTAATGGGTGGCACTCACTAGGGTTTCACCCGAGCCCTGGGGCTTGTTGTGAAAAACAGTCAGGAAAATATTAGACAGTGTGGTGCGGTGGGTCCATCGAGAGCTGGGGCTACAAGAGCTCAAAAGGATCTGGTGTCATGTGCACTCTTGACGACGCAGTGGGATTGCCAGGATTATCCTCATGTTGAGATAGGCAATCTTGGGAAATCTGTAAGACTTTCCTGGGACATTAAAAGTCGGTTGCGTAATAATAGTATAATAATAGTCTGGTATACGCCCCTTAAGAACATGCATTTGGAGTACATGTAGTGCTCCACTCTACTAGTAGTGCGAAATGTTCTTCTACCCAAGATATGCCCCGTTTTTTTGTACTTTGGGAAGGTGACAACCATAATTGTGAGTCTGATTAATCCACTGCACACGAGGCTAGGTACATGCACAGCCTGTTTGTTAATCCGCCGGTTGGATGAGGACTTCTCCACACCACCTTGAGAGGACGTTTGACCATGCCTCACCACGCTGGGCGGTGCAAGTTAGTGAAACGGAGTACAGAACAATATGGCAATTTGCTGCACTCCCCTCTACTGTCAATAACGCCTGTCCTTCGCGCATGGTGGTTAACCCGCTAAGCGCTATCCAGGCTTGAACCCGCTTAGCTTCTGAGATCTGACAAGATTGGGCACATTGCGGGCAATTTGGTCCAGGGCTACAGCTCTCCTGTTACGTCTCATTTATATACAGCGCTGTATATCTATTCATGTCTATTGTTCTCCCGTACCATCTATAGCCATCTCTGAATTATCTCCGAGATTTGTGTCATCTTTCCAGCACATTGAATGTACTAAAGTATAGTATATAACTTAAAATTACATATAATTAGAATAATATATAATTATACTATATATTACAATTAAGTATTACAATTAAGTACTGATGTTATAAAATTATACATTATATATAGTATATATAATTAGGATAGTATACAACTGAAAATAAATCATCGGTGACGTTGCGGTGAGTATAAGCGGATAAATGTCTCCTTCACTTATTCATCTTTCCACATAAACAAAAATATCAAAGTATTTCTGACACAACCCACATCAGTCGCACGGCCTTCTGGGAGTGAATAATTCCCGCAGCATTACGTACAAAGCAATCTCTGGTCTGGTTTCGACACAGTGCGTCTCATCAGCAGTGTGGCTTGCTTGAATCAATAACGCTGGTGAACCACCAGATTTTTTTATGGGCAACGACCGATATTAGGTAGCCACTGGAGCTTATGCACTTTTAAATCTACTAATTTCTTTAGAACTGTTTGTGTTTAGAGTTTGTCTTCCTTCCCCCACACATTTGATGAGCACGATGGATGGCTAGGCACTGTGCGAAAGAAGTTCAACATACATACATCACGTGATCCAATTTCGCCACTCGGCATTGCAGCTAAATAAATACAAATTATGACGTGGGATAAAACGGTGGCATAAATCTGCAAAAATCGAACTCCGTGCCTGATGTGGGTTGTGTAAGAAATAAAATAATACCTCGATACATGTATATTTGGTAAACAAAGCTTCGGTAGAATGAACGTTGGATTTTTTTCGCACCATTTTCTTGCACAGGAAAAAAAGCAAAATTATAAATACAGTGAAAGGATTAAGAAATTAATCGATCTGCAGTGCTGTATAAATAAGAATAAAGTTATGTTTCTTCACTTTTTTATTTACGTCAGTTTTTTTTCATTTTATTTTAATACAGTATAAAAAAATTATTTTAAATACAAAATGTCTTTGTTGAAAATATGAATGGCAAGCTATTATGCGTTTACAGTATTAAATGGTAAGTTACAGAGGCTGGGAACGCCTCTGTAACTTAAATATGCGAACGAATCTCCAGGAACACGTCTACTTCGTATGTCGAGGTAAAACTGTACTTGTGAGTTGTTTTAGTTTTTTTTTTCCATGTGAAGAGACGGATATGAGAAGGAGCCATTGTCTGCGTATTTGTTTTCTTACGCCGTCAGTCGTGTGCTCGTAAATCCGGTGTTCCATCTCCACTTGCCCAGAACTGAGCTCAAAACAAATTGATTGCCCAATAACCACCCACCCAACCCACACTCCTCCCCACAAGCTGCATTCTAGTAACTCGAAGATCCGCCACGCTACAGTGTATTCCTGACCGCCTCAAAAAAAACAAGACACTCAAGTACATCATGACTTCACATATTTCAAGCAGCCAGTCGTGCCTGCTGGTGGTACTAATAATAGTTTTACTCGACAGCGCATGTGCTGTGAGTGTGTGCTGGCGGTGAAAACTGATTGCACACCCCAAGCCAAATTTCCCCCTACAGTGGCTGCTTTTCAGTAAATGTCATTGTTTAAAAGGTTGTGGCGTTGTTTGAGAGCAAGGTGGGGGAGGATAATGCGAGGAGTGATAGTTGAAAACGACACCCACCACGTGTTGAGTGCGTGTGCTCCCGCCGTTTTCAATGTGAATCGGGGAAGTTGTCTATTGGTTTTATATTGTTATAAATCAGATTTATTCAAAGCAAGACTTTGATCTTTTACAAGTTAGAAATTAACCAGACAAATGTAGAGTGGTTACACATGTACACTCCTCAGATCAAAGGTCAAACCCCCAACAAAATGTAAATAATTTTGTGAAACCACTCATGGCAAATACAGTCATTTTAAATGCAGTGTTCACTTCACTCATCCAACGATTTCATTATTATCAACAGAACGTTCTAAACATGTTCTTGTGCGAATCGAGTCTTTCAGAAGTCTATTGAAACTGAATGATCAAACGACATAACGTGCATGCATCTGTTAATAATTGCCATTAAATTTGACACCACCGCTGCGGATATGTTTAACGTTTAAAGGTCTGCGTATGAATACATAAACAAATGCTCGTATTATATATATTTTTTCTATATGTCTGAATCTAATTTTCTAATCGCCTCTTGTTTCCACGACAAATGACAATGGTTGTGAAAGAATACCGTAATTAATTGAAACCTTTTAATAAGTATCAAATGCTGCATCTGCACTTATTAAACCACTTTTGCTAAAATTAAAATGAAAGGCTAAATCAGGATAACTAAAACAAGGCAGAATCTGTTGCGGTAATAAACAGAGCATCCTATTATGCGCAAATGTCAATTTTCTATTCAGAAGGACATGGCTATAAGAGTAATCCACTCATGCATGTTGCACATAACCCCATGTGGCCTGCTCTTCATTACTGGAATTACAGTGGGCAGACGATCTACTTAATAATCACACTTTACATTTTATTTCTGAGAAAACGTCTCTTCCAATAACTAAGATAGATAATTTCCTCGTGGGGGGGGGGGGGGGGGGTCTGAAGATGGTAATATTATCACAAACATTTCCCATGCGTTGGTACTTTTTAAGAAAACGTCAAAGCAAATGCACAGACAAAGCCACTGTTCTGAGAAAACGGCCCATCACTCTCCGTTTATGGCTCTGACAATGATGGAGCCAGCATGGACAATGGAAACGTACAGGATTGTGATGCCACAGTTCAGATCAAAATGTAAGGGTAATGGTTTTCATTATCAAATAGCCATCGACCAGCAAGGCGGCTCGCAATCGGAAGGTTATAAGTACATATCTTGGTTGATGGTTGATTCAACCCATAATCCCTCTATGGTCGAGAAAATCTGGATCACTGTGTGGGAAAGTCAACAGTGGTTACAATGTGGATACACTCGCCCTGTCATAGGACTGTGGAATTGCCACTACTGGCTCAGGACTGTACACAGAAGATCACTCACTGTCTCAATGGTCATTTGAGCAGGAAATCACGTTTGAATTTAGGCAAATATTTTGCTTTCTTTTCATCGGTTCCACAGTTTGTAAACACTGCCCAGCTGTCTCTGTATTCATAAATAGACGAATTACACAGACGTGATATAATTTATAGTTCCTGAACGCATGTCCAAAATTATCTGCTTGCGATGTCGTAAAAACCTCACCTCCATTGCTTCCGCCCACACCACGGGAATAATCATGGGAATTGATGACGAAGCGAGCGGCAAGTGAATTCCAAGCCTGAAATATCGACGGTGGAATTCACAACGGCAGTGGAAATTGCGTTGTGCATGCGCACCCTATCCTACAGAGAGAGCATTGTATCACTGGAATCTGTAAATGTATGTCTTTAATCTCAGGATGACCATCCTTTGACTGTGTGATGGCTATTCTTTGGCAAAACATTATAACAATTCAGCTGCCCCTTGAGTAGCAATTATATAAAACCTCAAAATGAAAATGTATTTAATGCGTATAGGTAGTTGCAGTGTTTTCATGCTGTACATTTGCACTAAACTATGCAAGAAAATAAGACAATTAATCTGCCACTGTAATCCAGCTTTACTTGTTAAGCAATGAGCTATTTTATTTGTTTATTTCAGTGTGCCCTTGTACAAGACAAACCAAGGTGAACGACATCAGTTTGAGTGTTATGGCAGGGTTGTCATTCACAATCGGAAGATAATCAAGTTAAGCCGACGGCTATTGCACTGAACCACAAGTCTGCCCCTGCAATGCTGAATTTACGAGTCTATCAAAATAAACAGATACCTTACAGCACTTTATTAATGGAGAGGGGAGAGAAAAAAAACTGCTTTCGAACGAGTTTGCCCACATTCACATCACAATGTGCGTTTGTCCAATGTCAGGCAGAAGCAGTGGCGAAGGGGGTGATATTACGCTCATCCTATAAGTGGCATCACGACCCATTTCACAATCCTGGAGGAACATTGCGAAAAAATGGCAGAGTTTTAGATGTTTGGACCCCGCTGAAAGGTGGGCCCACATGCAACAGAGAAACGCTGGAACGTGCATAGATACCGATATGCAGGCACACTTAAAGCAGACACACAGATAGAAACACAGAGACACAGGCTCACACATACACGTACTGGTACGCAAACACGGCCACAGATATAGACACAGAAATACAAACAAATACAAATACACAGCTATACAAAGACAATGAAACACGTACATAGATACAAACAAATACAGAGACAGCACAAAGACAGAAAACGGCAGAGACAGTGACACAGATACAAAGAGACCGGCATAAAGATAGACAAATAAATATATACAGAAAAATAGATACACAAAGACACATGGACACACACAGATAAATAGATGAACAGAGACACTGACACGCACTCATAGACAAGACTGACGCACACAAAGACACATGATGATGGTCTTAACAGACCTTTGGACCAGGTGCTGGACAGCCAGCTACCGAAGAAGATACACGTAACATACACACAATCAGCACAAATTGACACACGGACACAAATAGACAAGACACAATTGTGGCGTACACACAAGAAACAAACAATCTAAGCCGGTGCTAACAATTAAATGCCTTGCAGTTCACCCATAATTCACGGACAAATGGCAATATTTATCACCGGTATGTTGTTTTCTCGAGGAGTTGGGGTTTTTTTTTTAATACTGCTCCATAATGTTGTCCAGATTTGTGCAAACAAGCCAAATTATAATTCCGTCACCATAAGCACGCAGGGTTCTGGCTTTTCACGCGCTAATAGCCGAGATAACGGGGACATTTGCGTCAACATTTTACGACCACGTGCGCACTTTGACATTTGACGACGGTCAATTGATCGGCGTCAGTACACGATGATCATTATTACGGGGGGGAGGCCGATGTCGAAGAGAGATCGAATGCCCCAAATGTCATCTGGTCTCGAGTGGCAGGCGGCTTTTGGCCGTCCATCGTATCTACTTTTAAATCGGCACGGCTGCTGTTGAGTTATAGCATTGAAGACGCAGTGTTATAAAGCTTTAACAAGCGCTGTAGTACTCGGTTCGGCCAGTTATCACGCGTGCGAGATTATGTAATACAGTATCTAATGGGGGGATGGAAATAAGTAAATGTGGTTACCGTACACACACACAGATCCTACACAAACACCACACAGACATGCATACACACACACGGTCATATGCCATGCCACTCACCCTAACCCTGTCCTTCAACAACAACAACGCTCATTGCATTCAAAACGTTGCTCAAAACAAGATAGCAAATGTGTGGTGCCGTTCTGTGCACGCAGGACCAGCTGTAAAATTGTCAATAATAAACACAAACCACTCGCCAAATTGAAGAATAGCCACCGAAACGTCCGTACCGACCTGTTGGCTTTTCCAAACTTTTCTTCTCGCGCCACTGACAACCCAAGCCGCCGCCGCCGCTGCTGATGATGATGTTGTTGTTGTTGATGTTGTTGTTGTTGTGTCTCTCTCGCAAGTCCACCCACCCATCCACCCCAAACCCTAACCCCAGAGGGGAGAAACGTTCTCACGCCAAACCCCAGTCGGCTCCCGTGTCACGGGGTCTCGGTTCCTCTCTCAGCGGCCTCCCCCTCCCCTTAAACTTTCATTTTAAGACGACGACCCATTCTCTCTTCTCTGCGTGAAATGTGTTCACACACAAACACACACGGGCGCACACGGACACTTATGACAGCCCGCCTCTTCGTCGTTGCGATTTTTCCTGGAAGGCAAATGGCCGTCACGACACTGTTGTTTTGCGGCGTTACAACAACCACCACTACCACCACCAACCCCTACCCCCCTCCTTGTATGTATACGGTGCTGCTTCAATAGCAAGCGGCAACAGCGGCTCCAGCCACAAACCTAGTTGACGCAGATGTTATTTATGCTGCTGGCCTCTGGCCAAGCAAGCCGCGGCACCATTGGATGTGGCCGCTGTGTGGGTGTAGACGGGGCCAGCCAATCCGACGTGGGCCCTCTCATCTGGCAAATTCATGGCACCCGCAGAGGGTTTCCCATGCCAGGTTCAGATGTTTTTTTTTTACCTCTTGAGCCATAGAGGCTGCATTTGTGGAAATGTACGAAGGCGTTGCAGTGCGTTTGTCCATGAAATGTGAAGGGTTTTTATTGTCCGTGTGTTTTTTTTTGTCTTATCCAGAAGTCAATTTGACAGCTGTGGCTGGGTTGTAAAGCAGAGATGTGATGACATGTAATTAATACAGATGGTTGTCTCATATCTATTTGTCACTGCACCCTAAACGCATCTGCTCACAGCAACAAAACTAAGGAGGTGGAAAATGTGTTGCAGTCTTCAGTGGAGTATAATTATTTAAAAGAGGTGTAATTTTTACCTGGCCAAATTATTAATTTTAATCTTATTTTGTCAAATAAACAGCACCCCACACAGGGATGGCTGATCAGGAGCATCAATAAATGGTATGTTTGTGTTTTCAAAAATTAAGTGTTTTTTTTCACGCAAAGTGTATAAATTATCTCGCTAACACCATAACATTAACAATTCTAGAAGGTCAATGGGCCAAAACACGAAACAGTATGATATATATATGCTGCAATGGGAGGCTGCCGTGGTGTGATGGTTGCTGCCGTGGTGTGATGGTTAGCACACTAGACTTGCAATCCAGAGGTTTTCCTGTTCCGCACCTTAAAGTATCACGGTTGGCTACGTACGGTGCGAAAGAAGTTCAACATACAGTATATGCAACATAGGTTCGATCTCCCAGCCCTGGACCCGGAAGTTTAAACAATGACGCAAGCACGAAGGTCTTCAACACAGGTAGACGATTGAGAGGTTGCGCGTGTTGGGATTAAGTGTGTGTGCTCTCGCCTCTTCCAAGGCGTCTGACCCAGCCATGGAAGAGTTATTGGGTGGATAAAAGGAGCATCACATGAGTACGATGTTGTACAGCTTCACCTTTGCCTTGTATGTGTTTTTTTGTATTGCTCAGGATACTCCACAACAGAGCGTTTGCATTGTCGTGTGTGTTAACGCTGGCAGAATGTGTCAGATGAGAGGTTGTACCTTTATATGTGTGATACTTGAATTCGGAAAAAATTTACATTTCCAGATTTAGAGGTGGATTTCTTAAGAACTTGAGGTGAACTGTAGAATTGGATGAAAATGCTTTTCTCTCTCCTGCATTTCAGGTGTTTTCTTTCCATCTGGAATTCCATTTTGTGCCAGTGCCTCATGTCAGTGTGGGGTTCTGTGAGGCTTTTCTGGATAAATTTACATTACATGCACTGCGAGGTGTGATTTCTTTTCATACTTGTAATCCGATGGAAATAGTGCAGTGTTTATTGCACCGACATGAGTTCAATTCTCAGCTAAATCAGTGGTGGCTGATATACTGGAGATGAACCAGTATTGATTCCCACAATCACCAATTTGCACCGACCGAGTGCAGTGAAATATGGGCAATTAAACACCTCTCATGACCAATATCGAATGGGAAGGCCTTCATCCAGCATAGATTGACAAAAGAGTTGTACGTTGTACATTTTGGCAATTAATAAGTGATGCATTTCCATATGTTAAATAGAAAAAATATTATTTTACTTGCACTGCTGCAGCCATGAATATTTGGCAAATGTTGCGTGTGCCACACCTCCGATAAGCACGGTTGGCTATGTACGGTGTGAAAGAAGTTCAACATATGTACACATAACACGTGGCTGGTTTTTTATCCTTTACGAACAATACCACGTGACACTGCAAGAGTGATGAACACATCTCCATTAATCCACCCTCAATAACGGCATCAGTGCATATGACAACGGAACGGGAACGGTATAGTCTTTTGTCGTACCGTGATTCTTTGCTCCCACATCTGTGCTCCCTGCGCTCACTAACCCGCACGGACTAGGGCGGTGAAGTATAGCGAAGTAACCTACGAGCCTCACTGGCATACCGCAACAGGAATGAAAAAAGATACCCTTGACGACCTCAGTGGCTAACACCGACCGAACAAAGTAAATCACAACCGTGCGCAACGAATAGGATAAGAAAGGTATACGGCAAATGAAAATAAATACAATAATGAATCAGTAATGAGATAGTTTAAATTTTTAAAAATTAGATTTTATGAGGATGCAAGTCGGAATAGGTGGGTCTTGCACAGGCCACGGAATTAAGACACATTCGGCGCACTTTGGATATCCGGTGGCGATATAACCCTGGTGATGAAGAGACTACGGGCAAGCCGATTTTTGTTCACCCGATGATCGCTAAAACCATCACGAGATGTGCGTTGACCAGACAGACTAGAGGCACGTGCCTTTAGTCTGTCTGTACGAGTCTTTCAATTCTCCCAACCAAAATAGATGCTGTTTTCCAGTGATTGTGTGCCAGGAGTCACATTGATTAAGAGCTTTCTCCAACAATTTCAACTATCAGAACTTGGCAGGCTGCGTGTAAAAAAAAGTTTTTTTTTACACGTTTCAATTTCTGTACTGCTGTTGCGTGCAAACTCGCTCACCTTGCCGAATGTGTGCCCTTCAGTGGAGTCACAAATTACACCACGTGTTAAATAATTCACATTTTTTAATATTCGCCCACCGGAGAGATGCTTTAAATTTCCAAGCTACGTTATGTAAGATTGCGTCCCAGAAATGTACACGCTTTTAACTCACGAATGGTGTTCAGAGGAAGAGAGTGGACCAGTGGGCCCAGGAAATGGGCTCTCACCTCGTCTCAAATCGAAAGTCAAAGTGATTTCTCACTGAAAATGAGGATTGAGGAGGCACTCATCTTCTCTATACAGCGTTAAGCCAGTCGTGGGAATTCCACATTTCTATAGTGGGGGCGAGTCTATCCATAGGACTCCACCAGAAAGTGATGCTCACTTTATCCACCCATGCAGAATTGCTGAACCACGTAGCCGGGTCAGGTCTTACATAAATAATGTGCTTATCCTATTGGAAAAGTTCATCACATATATACAATGTGATGCATTTAATATCCACGCGTTTGCACTATAATACAGTTGTCATACTCGTTCCATATCCTTTAAACAAATATTATTGCCCTGGTGGTGTAGTGGTGAGCGGACTCGACAATCCAGAGGAGACGACAGGGAAAGGTTCTTAAACCCCCTCTCCCCGTCCGGCTCCGGCTCTGTCCACCGAGCAGCCATAAGTGGGTCAAAACAAAGTCGATCGGCTGAAGTAGAGTGTGGGTAACTCCTTCCTTTTTAAAAAAACATAATCTGGCCAGCATGGAAGCGACGGCAAAAAACACCCTCTGATGACATTGTTCTTTCATTGAGAGGCCCGCGGGCCACTGGAGGCCCCTGACAATACACAAGTGTGAAAACACCACCACCACCCCCCATCATCGTGCTGCTGTCAAACCCCCAATGGTTTCAAATGTGTGGCGGCCCTCACACTGATGATGTCTTATCGGTGATCGTGCCTCCCTCCCTCTGAAAACTCGTGAAGAACACTGCTCTAAGAGAAGGACTCTCTAGACCGGGGGACGTGAGCAGAAAATTGCAGGACTGCGCCTTTTACTTTTTGATCCGTCAGTGCTCAGGCCATATTCGAGCGCACTGCCGAGACGACTAGAGCTGGTTGAACATGACAATTTATGAGATTTCCGAGCAACTATGAGATTTAAACTAAACTATTTTTTTCAACGAAGTGGATAATCATGTTGACATTAAATTTCGATTTAAAGCTTTCGTGACTGCAGAGATTCATCTTCTTGGTTCTTTCGGTAAAGTCACGTAGAAGGGAAATAATAAAATAATAAAAATAAAACATAATAAAATAATTCTCACGACGTTTCGGCCACAACGCAAGCAGCCGTCCTCAGGTGAAGACCAGGTCTGTCGGGGAGACAGCATTCAGACGCAAGTTCCAAATATACAGGTGTCAGGGTCGGGATCGAAACCCACGATCTCCTGCGCACCAGGCGAGGTTAGTTAACATCTCGCCACCGTGATTCAACACAAATGCCTGTCCTTGCCACGCAGAACTAACGACAGTCGATGGTGTTTACAGCCCGCGCGCTGTGCAAGTAACCCCTTTGCAGCATGTGCCATACACGTGGCCACTCGAGGCCACACTTATTTTGTCCACAAAATATATCTAATAATCCCAACGCTTTTACCGTAACCGTATAACGCACAAGCGCGGATTGGAGGTAAAGACCACAACCCCTTCTCACGATGTGAGCCAACCGAACCGCTGTTCGGTCAACAGATTTATTGTGCGCGCTGACCACTATGGACTCTCAAGATCCGAAACAATGAAGGGCTCACTGTATGGTCACTTGGCTGTCAGGGACACCGCCACGCACGCTGTTGCTGCTGCTGCTGCTTTTGCGCGTGAATGCTTTACAGTACCGTCGGACAGGTTTTACGAGATTGTGAACATCCCTGCAAATCCTTTGCGGTGCGTACGCGCGCGCGTGTGCGCGTGTGTACGGTCAGCGCGCTGCACTACGAAGCTTGGGGACCCGAGTTCGATTCCCGCACACCGCGCAACGCCGGTGACGATTATCTGAACCGGTCCCGTAGGTCGACTCAGCCTCAAATGAGTCAATGGTGCTGTGCGTAAACATCGCCGCCGGGGAGACAAAGGCGGCCGGGCGTGGTGCTGGCCACCCCACCCCCTCGTGCGCCGTGCCGGATTTCGCATGTGCTACTCGCTAACAGCAGTAGCCCCAACAGTCTGTTAAGGCTATAATTGGGATGTTTTTTGACGTCACGTTAAGAAGAGGAAAAAAAACCGTGGCTGTTGACCGTGGAGTAACATCACTGCAATTACCTTTCGATTATGACGCACGCACACTGAGAGCCAATTTGGTGGTGGCGCTTTTAGAATCCGACTTTCTCAAAG